GGTAACTTGTCCCATCCTCCCATTCACAAGGGCCCTCACACATTCACTGGTGATATTCCTGAGATGGGGGTTACATTTTATGTGAATTTGAGGCAGTGTTGTGTTAAAATGTTAATGAAGTCTCATTTTAAATACAAAACTGGAAATAATACAAATCTTCTTACCCGCTATCTCCCGCCCTGCACACACACACTAAGCAGTGGCAGGAAATTCAAGTGTCAGGTGACACTTTCATAGCAGGCAGATTGGGACTGTGAGTTGGATTGCACTGTGGCCACACGGTGGCGCCACACCAGCCATAAGCAGAAGTGGCCGCTGTCTTGGCCATGTTGGTCTTGAATTATGAGTTTTGTGTTCTGCAAGGTCTGCAGGAACACATCCCTTGTGGGGATCGCTCCTGTGTAAGGCCCCCTAATGTGTGGGCCTCACCAGACGGTGAGCTTGAGCCCAAAACACAGTTTCCTGCTGGAGGCAGTTGAGCTATGGGAAAGAAGGAACTAAGAAATGACTGATGTTGCAAAGGTTTCTACTTCTGACTACGATGCCGCTTGGGCAAGGGTCGTGTGGTTTTGTCAGACATTATGTCTCCACTAGGCCTCTGCATGACCTTTACGACTTTACTTTTCAAGAAGTTTTACCTTATCCGCATGACCACCTTGAACCCTAGATAATGACTTTATGGCTTAGCTTGTGACTCTTGGGTATTGTTATTCACAAGTGTGTTTTGGTAAAAACAGATAAAGCATACCACCTGCCCACTTTTATAATCCTTGAATGTCATGCTTAAGATTGTTTTCGTGATCCTATATTTTGTAAATTTCCATTCCTCTTATTGTTGATTGTGTAAACACCTTTGATCTTAAGGTATATATTTGAGACCCTGGACAAAAATTAATTCACTGTTTAGGCGTTGCCTTTTCAGTCCTCCAGACCCCAGCTATTCTGTCTCTCTTTATTTCTGCGCACCCCTTCTTTCAGGTCAGGACCCTCTTGCTGGCCAAGACTCCCCGGCGGATCTTCCGTCGCCCACAATCCCTCACATACACTTTCTTGTGCCTCGGGGTTATGTTGTTAAAAGTCTTCATTCACTCATTTGAACTGTTTAAAATATGCCACTTTGTGACATTATTTCTCCATGATTCATGGTATCAGAGCCCTCCCAATATGGAAGTGGCCTAGTGTCTCTCGCCTCTGAGTTGACCCAGCACCCCTCCTTGATGGAGCCTCCTCTGTGAACCCCCTCCCCAAGGGACAGTCAGCATCTCCTCCTGCCTCCACCCATCCCATGGACTTCCCACATACAGTCATGAAGCGAATACTCCCAGCACCCTGTAGCAAGGTCTTGTGCTGGGAACTGGATGTTAGAGATGAATCAGTCAGGACTTCCAGCACCTAGAAGCCATGGGTGGCCAGGGAAGGCATCAGACAGGAGTCCGGGGGGGTTCTCCTGGAGGACGTGATGCCTGAGTTGAGTCTTGACATTCTTTGGGTTGAGAGTGTGGACATGAACAAGAAATTATCAATTACCCATCTAGGCATTTGTCTCGTTTGTTAGACCATGATCTCCTTGAAGTTAGCAAATGCATGGGATTTATCTGTTTTCCTGCCTTTCTGCTTAATATTGGAAATGGCCAAGTGAGTTAAGTATGAGTAAAGGGCTTAGAACCATGCCTTATGTGTAGTAAAGATTATGTAAGTGTCAGCTCTTATTCTTGTTGTCATTGTTGCGATTGCTTTTATAATTATCCAGAATCAATGTATATGGAATAATTCAGGAAATGAAAGACTGAGGGATGTGGTGGAAAGAGCCTCAGACCAGAGATCAAAAGCCAGGGTTTGCCCACAATTAGCTGGGATCCTCGGTTCAACTTCTTTAAAGTGGGGATAATTAAACCATTCAGGCCCGGGTGTTACAATGGTTAGAGGAAATTATAGAGCACACATGTGAAGCAACCAGCATATGGTAGATGCTCAGTGTGAAGTCTGTTTACCTTTCTTGTTTTATGGTGCCAAGGCACTTAGCACAGGACCATGTGCATGTACGTGCTCAATAGATATTTGTTAATGATTTGATAAGTAATATTCTCATTGCTTAAAGAATATTAATCACACGTTCACTGTCTCAGACAAACTCTTAGCCAGAAATGAGAAATATATGCTGTATGAACCTCTGCTCCCCACTCACTCACCCAAGGCAGACATTACTAATCAGTGGTGGCACTCTGTGTTAGTCAAGACTCATTTTGTTGGAAGTGGTGAACCAGCTTGAACAAAAAGGGTTTTGTTATATGGGTACTGGAGTAGCTCAGAAAATCAAAGAAGAAGCTGCAGGCAGCAGCATAGCCCCTGTGTCCTCCTGGGAAACTCAGTGGACACCTCTCTCTCTTCTTCATTTCTCCTCTGAGTATCTGCATGTTTGCAAGCATTCTCTTAGGCAGGGCTCCTGGGGACAGCAGCTGGGAGCTCTGAGGTTACCTCCTTCCCGGTTCATGATTCAGGGGTAAGATGGACAACACGCTCCCCTTCCCCATCCTGAAAACTTTAGGGGAGGCCTCTGATTGGCCAGCTGGGCTCATATATTCAGTGGCAGGGGGACTCTTGGTTACCAGAACTGGCAGCCCAGAGAACCACATGAGTTAGAGAGGAGCCATGTTCCAGAATAAAGGAGAAAGATAAGCTGGGAAGACACCAGTGATGAAGGTCCACTCCTGACCGCAGAGCTGGGATGGTGCCTCAGAATCCTTCTCAACACAGTGTGCAATCAGAATCAGCACTCAAGACAAAATCTATTTGAGATTTAGACTAAGCCTACACACAGGGAGGTTCATGGCATAATATGAACCTGCAGAGGATTCGACTGGAAACTGGCTGAGCCTGGGTTTGAATGTAGGCAAGTTGTTGCACCTCTCTGAGCCTCAGTTTCTTCATCTGGTACAATGGGCTGAATGCTTGTGTTTCCCAATAAATTCATATGTTGAAATCCTAATCCCCAAAGTGATGGCATTAGGAGATGAGGCCCTTGGGAAGTAATTAGATCATTAGGATAGAATCCTCATGGATGGGATTAGTGCCTTATAAAAAGACATAACAGAGCTTACTTTCTCTCTTTGTTCTCTGCCATGTGAGGACACAATAATATGATGGCCATCTGCAAACTAGGATGCAGCCCGTCTCCAGACATTGAATCTGCTGCTGCCTTCATCTTGGACTTCCCAGCCTCTGGAACTGTGAAACATAAATGTATGTTGCTTAAGCCAGCCAGTCTAGGTAGTTTTTTTACAGCAACTTGAGCTGGCTAAGACCTCTGGTAAGTCAGTATAATAATGCCAAACTCAGAGGTTTTGTAAGGATAGATGAGACACTATGTAAACTTCAGCACAATCCCTGTAAGATAGTCAACATTCAATAAATGTTAACTCTTCTCTGAGTGTGGGTTCCCCTAGAAGCAGACTCTGACACTAAGATTTCCATGCAAGTGGATTAGTCGGTAGGTAATCCAGAAGCCAAGATAAACACACAGGGAAGTGAGAGAGAGCAATGATGGTACTAATGAGCAAGTTACCACTGTGGGCAACTGAGGTTCAATCCTGCTGGGGACTTCTGAGAAGTTGTTGTTCCCCAACCCTCATCCCATGAGGTATGAGGGAGCTGGGGTATTTATGCACCAGTTGCCATCTCTGGTTGAGGGCTGTTCTGGATATTCACTCCCAGGCATTTCCAGCCTGCCCTTTGCCTGGGCTGAGCTTACTCCAGCAGCCAGAGAACCACCGCAGGCAGAGTCACAGGTGTTTGCAATAAGAAGCCACCAGCAGGAGGGCACTGACAGTGGCAGAATCACTTCAGATGTTATCAAGGGAATCCGTAAGCCTCACAGCTCGGCGCACACAGAGGGGTGTTCTTACCAAAGTGTTTCTTCTAGGGGAGATGGAGTTAAATGGCATGGTCCTTCTTCAGTTCACGGATCCTGGAACCCCATTTTCTCCTCTGAGTTCCTGACCAGTTTTTATCTTCCACACAGGAGTTTTTTTTCCTGTTACCAGAGTATGCCATTCTTCACCTCTGATCTAGGCAGAGCTCTAGCTCCCTGGAGAGCAGGAGCGTTCTTCATTGGGCAGGCTGGAGGCTGACTACTTCCTCCACACTGAGGCAAACCCAGAAAAGTGCTGACTTCTGGAGCATCCATGCTGGGCTCTTGGAGGTCAAGTGCTGGACATTCAACCAATGCATAAACAGGGCATTTGTATGACAAATAAGGTCAGTCACAGATCCCATGCACCCCTTATGTTCTTACCCAGCCATTCATTTCTGGGCTGCTCCCTTCTAACCAACCTTCACACTTAATATAAAATATAAGTCATGATTTTAAAGTGTAAACTTCAGTGGTTTTTAGTACACTCAGTATTTTGTGCAAGTATCATCACTATCTAATTCCAGAACATTTCCATGATCCCCAAAGAAATCCCATACCCTTTAGCAGTTAGCCCCAATTCTACTCTCCCATTCCCTGCAATCACTGATCTACTTTGTGTCTCTATCAATTTGCCTCTTCTGCATATTTTATATATGGAATCATACAACAGGTGGCCTTCTGTAACTGGTTTCTGTCACTTAATGCAATGTTTTCAAGGCTCATCCATGTTGTAACATGACTGGTAAGAACTTCATTTTTTTTTTTTTTTTTTTGGGACGGAGTTTCACTCTTGTTACCCAGGCTGGAGTGCAATGGCGCGATCTCGGCTCACCGCAACCTCCGCCTCCTGGGTTCAGGCAATTCTCCTGCCTCAGCCTCC